GTCGACTTAAAACGTCGAAATTTTTATCCACAGTGAGAGTTGTTTCAGAAGAGCATCTCATTTACGCTTACGCCTCTCGCTTATTCGTTTTCTCGAGCAAAAAGACCAATACGTTTTTCACAAATACAGCAATCGCGGCACAGCAATTGATTCAGTCGTTCGACTTTACACGCAACGACCTAATTTTCGTCAATTTTCAGCAACAAACATTTAAATAATGGAACAGTAACGGACGTTTTATTGTTCGTTAATAGATTAAAACGGTTCGGGACGATTCGTTTGATGGTTCCTAAAGTGAAAGATCAATTCGTCGGATTAATGGAGTCCATTAAAGCCTTCTCCCTGGATTACCGTGATACAAAGTGTCCCGCCGGAATCCCGATTGAATAAAATGAATAGAACAGTTTCTAATGACCCAGAAAGAGGGGGGAGGGAAATCGGGCGTCTCACTCGAAGCGCTAAATCGATGAAAATAATTCGAGTGGGTACTTCTTCCGTAACGTCAAGGCTACAGGAGGTAAGTAATGGCTTCTGTCGTGGCTGTTTAAGCGGCACAGCTTCGTGGCTGAGATTGGGGATGGCTCACCCTCCGCCGGATACAAACTATTGCATCGCATCGTCCGCCTCAGGATGTCCGATCGAGTTATCGTCTGGTACCCTTCTCCGTGCCTTCTTCATCTAGGAACGCGAACGTATCCCCAGGCTACAAACCACCCCCTTGTACTGAGCTATTCGCTTTCAACCTCGTCCCCTCACCTTTTCTCCGACCGCCCACTCCTCCCCGCACCCGATACTCCCTCTTTTAATCGAACCTTCTATCCGGTATCACAATAATTCGCATTTATTTGTCGTGCGCCGACCACCGCTACCGTCTCCAGCCGCTATAATGAAATGCACGCAATAGGGCACTGATTTTTACGCGAAAACAAGAGTTTTATCGCGTTATGCCTCGCGCACGTCTGCCGAGATCGTGGTCCATACGCCCTACGCTAAACTTTCCGTTTGAGTCATAAGGAATTTCCGCTATAAAACAGAGAGTTTGCTCTATCTTCTTTTTTGCTAATCATAGCTTTCGTCGTATCATAAATATTATAAATCGTCCATCAGAAACAAAATTACTAATGAGGATAACGTGGAACGCGCGTGCTAAATTTACCATAACCAACAAGCCATAGGGGATTTTCGCTGTAAAATAAAATTTATTGCTTTGTTCTATAATACATTTTATACCTCTTACCTTTTTTGGTAATCGTGATTTTTGTCATATTGTACATATTGTACATATTGTAAAGCGTTCAGAAGCAAAATTACCGAGAAGAGTAAGTTCGCCAGAATCCAGGCTGGTGTGGAATGTGTTACGCGAATAATCGACATCGATTGTGCGTTTGTTTCTCCAGATCGTTACCTTAAAATACTTGCATCGAGTGGAATTTACGTTAAAAATTGAAGAAGATATACTTTGTTCTCGACTGGAAGCTCAGGCTGCTACAAAAATATAGTTGTGTGCACGAACTTTAAATCCACAAACGATATCAGTCGAAGCAAATGTAACTTAAAGAGACAAGATTCCAATGTTGTACAATGTCCGACAAAAATGTTACACCTTCGTTGATAGAAACGTGGAAATTGAAGTTCGTTATCACTGCAAGCAATCTACCATGGGAAAACTGTCCAACGAAGTTTCTTAGAGGGTTTCAAATCTTGAAAAGTTTCTGCCAAACAGCATCGAGGAACGTCGGCTCTCGGGCCAGACAGCGGAGATACAGCGTTATTAGTATGCGTATAAAATATACATGTATGCGGGAAAGAATTGCGGATCTACACGCGGTTTAATAACGGCGAACCAGTGAAAGTCGGCGCGAATTAATGCCTGTTGGACGTATTGCCAGGCAGAACGGTTCGGACGGAATCGATCTGCAGATTAAATTTTCATTTACCGTACCGCCTGTGCCTTTGCGTGGTAATGGCGTAAATTCGCCCGCTCGGCTGCATCGCTTGGGTTCATTAAAGCGGGCCGGCTCTCGTTTAATCCCCGCGAACCTACCAAAATCATGTTCGATAAACATTACCGCAACGCAGCGATTTTCTTTGGTGACTGAGTTAAGAACAGTAGGAGTGGGGTGGGCTCGACCGGTTGGAGAATTTCGCTTTACAAACAACCCCCAGATCCTCGAAAATTGCTCGCCTATCGGCCAATGATTACGGCGCGTGTCGTATACCGCCATGAAAACTGAAAGCCGAAAATACGTTAGGGCAGCACGAACTTGACGGCTGTTCTTCAGGGACGTTGTTAATCCATGAAATTTCGAGCAAAGTCTCGTGACAGCGCGCCACGAAACGAATTAATATTTTTAGCAATTGTACACGATCATTTGTCATCGTGTTACTTCTTTTTAAATAGAATATTGTATATTTCAACACTGAGTCATCAGTTAACTAACATTGGACAAGACACAAATTCGAGTGATATTTTCTGGTATGTGTATTATTATTCTGAAACGCAATAGAATGGAATTACTAGATAGAGTTCATTATCGAAAAACTTCTTTCCTACTGATCGAACATTTCGTTTCTTTCTTTATTCTTTTTTTTTTCCTTTTTCTTCAATAACGAATCACAACTTTTTCACAACGTTTTTAGTTCGTTTCAACAATATAAAATAATAACTTTGTAACTTTGAAATTCAAATGTTTCCAGACAATTTTCTACTGTTCAGCAACCTTTTGCCACGTACTCGTTCTTTTCTTATTGTTCGCGCGATAAGAAATTATGAAAATCGTCTTTTTATCGGTTAATTCCGCACGAATCATTTCGTTTTCCATATCGTGGCGAAGGTGGAGTCGAGGGGATGTCAGTGGGTTTAATGCTCGGTCCGACCCGCCGCGAATTACCCCGTGGAGATTTATTAAAACCGTAAAGCAGAAGAAACGGCTCTGGCCAAGCGTGATGGCGTTTTCTCCGTTGTTCTCTGCGTTGGAAACTGCTAGTAGTAGCTCGTAGAGGAATGGGCAACAAAGAAAAGAGGGCGAGTCTGTGCCTGACGTTAGTGACCATGGGGCATTTTCTTGGTCAAGCTTGTCCAGCTACGCTGGATTAGTTCCCGTTTTCTAACCCAAGACGATGCAACCAGCCAATTAAATCGCCGTTAACCTTTCTCTGCTCCGTTGTTCCAGGTCCCTGCTTGATTCCTTTATCCGTAGAAATGGACCACCGGTATAAGAGCACCACCGTACCACGAAGAAAAGAATACGGCCAGCGGCCTTTGAGACCGTCGAACCGTGGATTACCCCCCCCCCCCCTCCCCCATCCCGCCTTTTCATCCCTTCTCCTCCACTCCCTTTTCTCGTTTCGCGTGTACCATCTTCTTATCGGTGATCAATTTAATATTTACTACCTAGTACGCAGAATCGCTTGCTAAACTACTTGTCGACTTACGCTCATTATTTCATCATTGTTGAAACTTTAACTTGCCTCTCGTCTCTTCTTCTCGTTAAATGGTTTTTTCGAGTTTCTTCCGAAAAATTTCCTTCGAGCTACTTCTCTCTCGTTTATCGAAAAACTCAAAAAAGAGTTTCGCCCGTGCAGAGAGATATCCGGCGAAATCTGTGTGAAGAATGCGATGCACGGGCGAAAGCATCGGCGACATCTGCGCCGATACGAAAATCTCGAGAATCACCCGAGAGAGAGAGAGAGAGAGAGAGAGAGAGAGAGAGAGAGAGAAAGAGAGGAAGGCAAAGTATAACCGACCTAGCAGGGAATCTACCGTGGCGCGATTGCAGGAGTTATATGTGGGATATTCGGTGACGCGACGACTTTTTCGGAGACGTCGATATATTTGTCCCGGTGTGTATTTTGTCCAACCCTCTCCACCCAACCCACCCTACCGCCGCGTCCTATCTCGTTCTCTTTCCGCGCAAAAGTCAAGCAAAGTAAAAGAGTCGCTGGCTGCCGGCCAACATTGCGATCTCCAGTCGCGAGGACGATGCGCAATGGTAGAACGTTACAACCCATTGCACACGCCGAATCGTTTCTAGTGCCTGGTGTACCGGAGCCAAGTTCTTGGCCATCTACCTCTATCCCTAATGCCCCGACGTTATTCGACGCACGAGAACACGAAACTTGTTTCTTCTTACGATAATTATCCTTCCTCATGGGGTCCTACGGGGGAGGGAAAGATCGACTGTACTGGCTGGGCGTTCTTTTCAGAGACTTCCTCGGAACCACGTAACCGCAAAACAAATGTGTTTCGCGTTACTTTGAGGGCTTTTTGAAACACGCCGGCGATTAGATGCAGATGCCGGAGTGGGAGGGGGGGGGGGGAAGGGGGCAGCGAGTATAAACCGAGTTGGGAAAATGGGAAAGAAACTCTTGGATTGCCAGCGGTTGGCGTTGGTGAGTTAGATTCACTCCTTCCGGTAGAAAGCACAAACAAAATGTACGTTTCACGTGTTATCGTGTACACGCGTTGTTGCATTTCAGATTGTTAGCGTAATTCATTAAAATGTACACTTTGTAAATGTGTATTGTGCTTTGAATTTCGTTTGTGAATATTTTAAACCGTTGGTACAATTAATACAGCAAAATGTTAACAGAACGATGTCGAACATGAGATCCCATGTTATTTGAAATACTATAATTTTAGCTGCTCTGTCAATATCAATATCAAGTATTTTGCGATACATTTTTGTAGAATGCGTTACAAACTTTTGAAATCGTTCGACTGAATAACTCGAAAGTGATAATCACATAAATCATCTTCATAAATATTGTTGTGTATGGATGTGATGTCATTAAATAATGAAGACCTAACTTTGAAGCTACTCAATAGTTGTTGTAATATTGCCATCGAATATGAGAACCTTGGAATTTCACATTAGGCAAATTTGTTCAATTCAATTTTATATTAGACAGATTCCACTATAGTAATAATAATTTTCTTACTTTCATCGAATTCTAATGTAATGTAAAGTGTTGTTAACTGAAAATTATAATTGTTTCAGGAAATGGATCTGACATCAAGCAATTTTAACCTGTACGTGCAATTTTTGACATGGGGTATACATCGACTACTGTACCGTGAGTATAACGTCTTCACTTCCCTTTGAAATAGCGTAACAACTTTTTTCGCTTAGTAAAAGAAATCTCCATGCATGACGTTACACCTTGAAACCTACAACTATTTTCTTATACTGTCGTTAAAGATTCAAACGTAATCGCGGCTGGTTTCGCAAGCTACCGGGACTTAGACCACAAGATCTTGTAATACGAGTGTGTGCTGCGTGCGTGTCCATGCGTGGATTAATTTAACGTTCCCCAGGGTGTCTCGTATCACCAGCAAGTGCCGTAAATATGGTTATTTTAAATCTACATCCAGCAAAGGGTAGTAAATTGCGAAATAATTACGCTTGCCTGTACGCCTCCGACTCGAAAGGGTCGGTTGTACGAAGAACAGCGAAGGGGTGTAGAGAATGTTCTCCCTGGTTTCGAGTGTACTACAACGGCCCGTTTCCCCTCGAGGGAGATAATACTTCGTTTCGTAAAAAAAAGAAAGGAAAGGAACGTAATGGGCCCCATGTCACGCGTTATTCGATCGAGAAGGAAATCGTGTAACTGTTCTTTCTAAGGAGGATCCCCTCAAGAAATCTTTCTTCCCTAATTGCTTGCGCGAGAACTTTCCTAATGATTTAACGAACTCGTTCAATTTTAATACTCAAAATTTTAATAGAGAACCTTCTTCTTGCAAATGAATATCACACGCTTTAACTTGACCAGTCGTTGCAATTAACTGATTCACGATCCGTATCTGTTTTTCTTTTCCAATACTTTTTTTTCCTTTTCTTTTTCACGAAATCGCGACCAACGCGAATATCGAAATCGAACGTGTTTATATTGACCAATTTCTCGGTGATTTCGCCGACGATTTGTTTGTTGAATGCGAAATGCTGGGGAAATCTCGCGGAGGAACTTTGTCACGAAGATTTCGCAAGCGAGTTCGTTCCTTTGATTCGAGCGAAGGGGGAGGAACGGATCGAGGAAGGAAGAGATAGCAGAGCTGCGCAAACAGTGAAAGAGGAGAAGGGGGTGGAGGGTGGAAAGGAGGCGAGAGGGCACACCTCCGCCGTACCTTTCAATTTGCGAGGCAATATTTTCGGCGCACGCTGGCTGAGTTCTGGCGGTGTTTTATAAGGTCGTTACCTAGGTTGCGCTAATCTTCATCCTAGCCCGCAAGCTTCTGGCAAAGTGCCCGCCAGGAAAATATTGTTCCACTGGTCTTATCTGACTTGTATCTCGACCGATCCTTTCCTAACCGAGACTCCGTGCCTACGTTCACGGTGGCCCGGTTGTTGCGACGAGGAATTTCATATTCTCAAAGTGAGAGATTTACTGTATTCCTTGGTAACAAGGCTGCGGCAGAATGGTTGCAAAGGGTTACAAAGACCATAGACAGCCAGAAACGTCCCGTACCGGTGATATTTTCGAGCCGGCGTACAATGGACGTTTATTATTCATTAAAATGCGAATTACCAAGCATCGGCTTGAAAACTTAGCGCGTCATGAATACGTTCCCAAGTTTTGGAATCCCGCGTGCCCGCGGTTTTAAGTTCTCAACCCTTTTGCCACAGATTGGTTTTTATTAAAACGAGAGATATTTCCGTAATTCAAATATATATATTTTTTTTTAATAAAGAATGTGAGCTAACAATGCGCAAATAATTCAGTTGTTACACAATGAGTAAAGATAGGCAAAGAATTTTAATTAAACTACGTTTGCATTTGTTTATGAAATGTTAACAGCACTCGAACAAAGTAAGAGTAATCATGGTTTTCTATTCACAGACTGTACGTGGATATTGTTATTATAATAACTTTCCGTCGGTAATTTCGTCATCGATTTGAAAGTTACGGCGTGATTAATTAACGCACGGGTATTACGAATCGTCCAAGCAACATCTAGTAGTACGTGCAAATTACGTCTGAAAATCTCGGAGCATGGCGACAGTGCCTGTCAAGCTACGAATACCAGGATCGTGTTTTCAAGATACAATTGCTAGAAATTTCACGCCTTTAGCACGCGGTCACGTGGCGTAATAAAAAGACCGTTTTGAATTTTCTTCCCGGATTTAGCTGCTTTACTCCGACAAGAAGGACGATACTTCTTAGTGGGTTGGCACTCGCGTACCGTCTCTACCTTCTTCAGCAATTCTTCTCCCTTTCAGTCGTGCGATGGGGCGAGCAGGAGGCATACAATTACTTGGAGAATGAGCAGGTTGAATTGAAGGCAGAAGAGAAAAAGAAAGTGAGTGAGAAAGAGAGAGAGAGAGAGAGAGAGAGAGAGAGAGAGAGAGAGAGAGAGAGAGAGAGAGAGAGAGAGAGAGAGAGAGAG